AACTTATTTCTAGCGGCAGAACAGGTTAAAAGATGGCTGTCTTATGTTGTTTATTGTTTTTTTTTTATCATCCTACAGGCTCTGTCTGACATGTTAGATAAATCTGAAAATCAGGTTTTGAAAAAATCCGTAAGACTTGAAAAGATCCGTGAGATTGTTCTATACGCCCGTACACCTGCAAAATGATGTAAAATCCTTATAACTTACAATCTGTACAAGTTGACATGTATGAGCAGGGTTTGTACATTTTATTATCAGCTGAGCTGTGATGAAAAGAAAAATACCGTCAAATACCGTGAAACCGGAGAAGATGTTGAAAATACCGTGATATAAAATTTTGATCATATCGCCCACCCCTAGTTTTATATATATATTGCAAAACGGTTTCAACAACAAACATTTCTCAAATTTTCAACAATATCAAATAAAGTGGATTTTATAACCAGAACTTTAAGTAGAATTAGTCATTTAGACATAAAAAATTTTTTAAGTTGGCATAAGTTGACTAAAATGTTACGGTGTGACAGGACCTTAAGGGGCTTAAGCTGCACATAGTCCTATCATAAAATAATTTCAGATAACTGGAATGTAAGTGTGGTGAAGCCAAATAAATGTAATATCTGCCTGCCATAAGATGAGGGAGGGGAGGGGGGATTTTGAGGATTTATTCTGTATATGTTTTAAAATGTTACATTTCTTCATTTGTTCTCAGAATATTTCAAACTCTTCCTGCTCAGTTGTCTCTGCACTCACAGCCCTGTTGACACAGGTGTGATGATGTAACTGATGACAGGACGGTAGAGGGTAAAATTCTACCGTAGGCCAACTTTCATATCGTTTCTACCGTCTACCACATATACCACGCAGTCCTGCTGCCAGATTTCAGATTTTATTACATTCTGCATAAACCACTGTGGTGGTTTACATCCTACATTAAAAGTATGAGTGACTTGTTAATGCACATTTATAATGAAAATAATTGTTCTGTTCTCTGTCAAGTTTACTATTAGTTCAGTTTGCATTGCACTGTGTTTCCAGAAGTTTCTTTTATCCTAAATGCTTTTAAAGAATGGATCCAGAGCTCTTGAGTATTTTTCCTAATGGAAGAAAAGTGTGCAGAAATCAGAGGTCTTACCTGAACAAGTGAGGGTTGTTACCCTACAATCCTCCTGGTTTAGACTCTCCAGAGACTGAGCTGTCATTCTACATTTGCACGTCCAGTTATCATTAGGAACAGAAATAACCAATTAAAAAGGTTTGGTTGTTTTGAATGCAGTCATATAAATTTCTGTACATGAGTAGAACTTCATGTTTTGAGTTGTGCAACAAAAGTTTTTTGCAATTAGTTGAATTGTCAGTAAAAATGATTCTTGTTTTATGGATGAATCAACCTTTGATTGTCATTAATATTCATTGGACAGATTTGGTCACAGTGCATCTTCTGCAACATGCATCAAACTTACAATTGAACCTTAGACTATAATTATTAAATGTAAATGGTGAATGGACTGTACTTATATAGCACCTTTCTATCCATCCAGGACACTCAAAGTGCTTTACACTGCAGACATTCACACATGCACACACACATTCACACACTGATGATGGCAAACTACACTGTAGCCACAGCTGCCCTGGGGCACACTGACAGAGGRGAGGCTGCCATACACAGGCGCCACCGGACCCTCTGACCACCATCAGTAGGCAAGGCGGGTAAGGTGTGTTGCCCAAGGACACAACGACTGAGTCGACTGGACAGGAATCGAACCGGCGACCTTCCTGTTCCAGGTCGACTCCCCTAACCACTCTACCAAAGCCATCATGTTTTAAATGTTTCTCTGCTTCAACACACCTGATTCAAATTTATTAAATTATGTCCTCAGAATGTCATCAGGTTTATCAGAAGCCTGTCAATCACTCAGTTCAGTCAGGTGTGTTGCAGCAGGAAACATGTAAAACCTGCAGGACAGTGGGCCATGAGGAACAGGGTTGAAGACCTCTGATCTAAAGTATGTTTGGGTGAGGGTGCATGTTCCTATCTGGTCTCTGCTGGTCCTCCTGACCTGTCCGGGGTGTCCTCTACCTCCTGCTTGTTCCTGTCAGTGAACTACTTTTCCACTCATTCAAATAGGTTTGGGCAAAATCGTACTGTGTGCAATTAATCATCAGAAAAACTTAAATTTAGTATTTTTTGGCGCTTGATGATTAATACGATTAATGCAGCCAGGCGGACTGACTGCAGATTTCCCCGGTCAGTCTGCACGGTGCTCCTCTCCAATTCAAATATGACGACCATTTAAAACAAAACAGTTCTGTGATTACTTAATCTATCAACACAATTTAAAAATTGATGTATAGTTTGAAGTCTGTACTTTTGACACAATTTAAACATATTTTTATGGAGAGTAAATCTTTCCCACTAGAGTGATTAAAATTGGTCATGTGACTAGAGCTTCCAGGGACTCCAGGGGATTAATTGTCATATTAATCATTATTGGTTCAGTGTTTCCCCTAGGAAATTGGTCTTTGGGGGTGGGGGGGTGCGCTACTTGTTTAATGAAAACATAAATTTACGTGACTCACCTGCAATTATGGTAATAAATTTACACATACATGAATATTTAATTGCCTAACTACATCCTAGTTAATGACTTCTCATGGTAATTATTAATAAAATTATTATTGATAATAAATGATCAGAACTGTGTGCAGCAGATGATCTGAGTCCAGAGTTCTCAGTTTGAAACCATCTGGAGCTCTTCTGTGTGACTCCAGGTGTGACAGAGTGTGGATGGTTGATTGTCTCTTTTGTGTCCCTGATGGAGACCTGTCCAGGTGTCNCTGGTGAACTGGAGACCTGTCCAGGTGTCTCTGGTGAACTGGAGACCTGTCCAGGTGTCCCCTGCCTTCACCCAAAGGCAGCGAGGACAGGTTCCAGCCCCACCCTGACTCTGATTAGGAACATGGAGGACAGGAGGAGGATTTTTCTTTATAGCAGGAAACAGACATTTAATTATAAAACATGATTTATTTTATGTTAATCTGAATCAATTTAGTGCTGTTTGCAAATATATTTGACAGGCCCCGCCTGTATAATGGTAGGGGAAACACTGTTGGTTAATAAAACTGTGATATCTTCACTCTTAGGATTGATGTCCACTCTCAGTAGATATATTTAAACTTTTTAATGCTCTTCAAATTTTTAATTTATTTCACTCATTTTCTTCATTTTTTGATTTATTTTACTCATTTTTTTATTTATTTCACCCATTTATTTATTTATTTAATTTTGGCTAAAACGGCTCTCCATACTTCACAGCTTACAGTTAGAGTACCAGTTCTGTATAACACATGGGGTAACTTCTTCTGCTCCAAATCTCCTGCAGTAGCTTTTTAGGTTCTTCTCTGCTACTGCCTCTAGTGGTGTTGGGTGGTAACACAACCCAAAACAAAAGATTACTAAATCAGGATACCACAAAAACAGTCGTGATTAATGTTCAAGAGATGAAAAATCTAGACACTGTTTTCAAGCTGCAATAAAGTGTTTATTAGTTTGTCTTCACTACACAGTTTGTTTGGTGTCTTTAACCTTTCTGAAGTTTTTGTTCTTTAAACAGTTTTAATAAAACATCTCAAAGCAACAGATATTTACTACAGGATCACAATGGTGCTCAGTACTAAGAAAATGATTTGATGGAAATTTTTGCATCTAAAAGTTTTAAGGATTTGTGAATGTTAAATAAATGCTTTGTTTATACTGAAGTTACTTTGCCTCATTTTTCATTTGCCTCCTCTTCCAGTACCAAGCGCTTCCCTGGCTATGATGCAGAGAGCAAAGAGTTCAACGCAGAGGTCCACCGTAAGCACATCATGGGCCTGAACGTGTCCGAGTACATGAGCCTCCTGATGGAGGAGGATGAGGAGGCTTACAAGAGGCAATTCTCTCGCTTCATCAAGAACGGAGTCACCCCAGAATCTGTACGTTTTTATCTTTTTACTTCCAGCCTTATACAGAACCAACCATTGGTGTGATTTGTAACCTTTATTTCTTGTTATATTTCCAGTCAACTGCCTTTTTAATTTAGGTGAATTTGTGACAAGCTGCTGTTTTCTTGTTGCTTTAAAATGCAGACTAAAAATCTAGAAGATTAGATATTTGAAAAATGGGCCCTTTTTTGGTTCAGTCTGAGAATTATTTTCTAAATATGAGTTGAGTGTAAAAAGTATTAAAAGGCATTGAATTCATCATTCTAAAAATAAGGCCTTAAAGTCTTTAATCAATCTTTCAGAGGTCGGTAGGATGATTGTAATTCATCTTATATTCTAAATAATTTGTAACATTTATTTAAAATTTTCCAAATGTCTCTCGCAGCTAATTTTGTGCTAAAATAAACATTTATTTATTTATTTATTTATTTATTTATTTATTTCATGTTTATTGTGAAGTTGGTCTTTAATCAAGTGGCATTAAAGAGGGATTTAAAAAGTCTTAAATTTAACTTGTCTTAAGCTGTAGGAACCCTGATTGTCAAATGTGGACATGAAGGAAAAAACAAACACTTAAATCTTAACGACAGTCTAGATTTTAGGACAGTATTTGTATTTCTTGCTGGGCAAAGTCTCTATTTATTTTATTTATTTATTTATTGAGACATAAAATTTAACCTTTTTTTATTTCAGATGGAAGAAATGTACAAAAAAGCTCATGCTGGTATTCGTGCAAACCCTGTTCATGAAAAGAAGCCGCCCAAAGAAGTCAAGAAGAAGAGGTGAGAAATGTTTTATTGATTGGGTCTACACAGGGAAGCTGTTTGAACTAGTTTTCTCTCAGCAGCTCTGACGCTCGTGTTCAAAGCTAAACTGTTCACTGTGTTCTGTGACTGAAGGTGGAACCGGGCCAAGCTCTCTCTGGCTCAGAGGAAAGACCGTGTCGCTCAGAAGAAGGCCAGCTTCCTCCGGGCTCAGGAACAGGAGGCTGACGACTGAGACGTCTGCTCTGCTCCAAACGCAGAAATTTGTTCTAAATAAATATGAAAAGGAGTCTGTGTTCACGTGTGCTTGTTTCACGCATCGCTCTCAGCGTTACAGCTTTTTATTAAAACATTAGATCTGAGGAGCAGTTTCCTGGTCGTCTGTGATGAACTGATTTGTTCTGATTCAGACGTTCAGTGGAATCCTGCAGCTGATGCAGTTTAGAGTTCAAATCTAAAGTCATTTATTAAGTCTTTAGATTGATAAAATGTGATTTGTTCTTATTAAGTCAGTAGCAGGTTGGTTTATACACATCCAGTGTGTACAACAGCTAAAGGATGGGGAAGTTTATGAACAGATTTCAGCTCTTTTGACGGTTTGTTAGTGAAGCATCTGTAAAACTGCAGCAGCATCAGTGTAAACAGCAACAAACTCAAATGTGCTTCAAGCAGCAATGAACTGATGTAGGAAAAAAAGTGTTAAATATATTAAGCTGAACCACAATTATTTAAACCTGCTGGCAGGTTTATTATTTTTGGACAGCCTTAGGAGGGCAAAATGATCAAGCTGAGACGGTCATGATCCTTGGTCAGATTTTATTTTCTTGGTCCTGATTGGTTTTAAAATAATAAAAGCATATGCTGTTCTCTGCAGAATACTTAACACATGAATTAATATTGGAATGATCTTCCTGACAGCTGTAAACCTAAAGATGTCACTGGGCTGCAACTGTTGGAGACTAGATGGCAAATGTGTCCAAACGATCTCTGGGTTGTGTTCCTTGTTAAAAGTTGACTAATTTTGTTGCAGCTGCACTGAAGTGCTCTGACAGAAATTGTGTCCAGGTATAAAATCATACAGAGATGGTACATAATTTAAAAAAAATGGTCAAAATCAGAGAATTTTCAATTCAAATGTGTACACATTGATGAAATCAACAGCTGTTGTTTAGGTGGGCAACAAAATAACATGCATGGTGTAAACAGGTCTGTGACCTACTGTCCTGCAGGCTTTAGTTCAACTTGACATTCTGAGTAGGTAATTTAATTATTTGAATCAGGTGTGTTGACGCAGAGAAACATCTAAAACATGCAGGACTCTGGGTGAGAAGGGGTTCTCTGCAGATGAGTAGGCGTTTCCAAGGGAAGGCGGTTCACAACAGACACACCTGATTGGACGAGCACAAAGGGGGCATTACTTAACCACACCTGATTGGATGATCGTTGCTTTGGCGTATCTTGAAATTATTAGCTTACTTAGGAAAGACACCCTAGAGGTCCGTATTGGAATTATTTAGCCCACCCCAGTCATTTGACCCTAAAATTAACCCCTTGGTTCTATGATTTGGTCCTTCCCACCCTAAAAACACTTATGCCTCATTTTTGCCTGCTAAAATTAATGTGAAAGTAGTTAAAGTAAAAAATAATATAAGAGAAGAACCAAACTTCTCAAAAAACAGCAAATACAACTAGCCAATCAGTGTTTATGCCTCAGAATGCCTACTCTTCAGAAACGACTCTGCAGAGACCCCTACTTGCAGTGGGTCATGAAGAACAGGGTTGAAGACCTCTGATCTAGATGTTGAAGTAGATTCTTTGTCATCCAAGACGATCGTTAGTTTTCAAATAAGCAGCAACATACCTTGTTTTCTAGCCTGTTAAAAACCAGACACTTGTCCTTTGCTTCGTGCGAGGGTCTAGACTCGCGGCTACAGAGAAGCGATTCTTGCTGGAGGCGTGGCCTCTGCTGAAGTGTCGCTGTGAAGGAGGCTAAGCTAAGAAGCTAACCGGAAATCGTGTGCTGTAAACAACCCTATAGTACCGAGCCGAACGAGACAACTGTAAATGAGAGCTGCTGCTTTGTCAGACAAACTTAATTTAATTTGAGAACCTTATCAACACGGACTGGCTTCATTCACTTCCTCCACTGCCATTGCTATACTAGAAGACACTGCACAGAAAATTACATCGTTCAAAACTCCTTCTGTTTGCTGATTGGCCCAGGTGAAATAAACTACAAGCAGACACTGCGCAGAAAATAAACGTTCTGTTCTCTGATTGGTTCAGCTAAAAATCGGCCAGCGAAATCCTTGTCTACGGGAGAAGTCCCAGACGGAGCAGTGAAGGGAAAATAGAATTGAGCGGAGCTGCGTAGGAAGGCAAGGGCCAGGCTACTTGTTTTCCTAAGATCTTAAGATTGCTATAAGAACTGTAAAATCATGAGTTGCTCACCATCCATCTCGAGTCATTTGGGTTGAACCTAATGAGGCCAACATGCTTTAAGGTGTGACTGGTTGTGAAGGTGATTGTAGAGATGAGTCAATGCTTCTCTTTGGGCGTTAAAAAGATGAAACCAGCTGCCTCAAAGACACACCTTGAAATGTGACCAAAACAACCTCATTAGGAAGCATACAGCTAAACGACGGGGACCAAAGAATGGTGCATCTCAAAAAATTTAAATATTGTGAAAAAGTTCAAAATTGTCAGTTCAGAAAGAGAAACTCAGGTTACACATAAACTAAAAATAGTTCAAGTCTTTAGTTCTTGTAATTTGGATGATTATGGCTTGCAAATAATGAAAACTAATATTCAGTGTCTCAGATAATTTAAATATTACATGGGCAGCTTTTGGTACTTTTGGCAGTGTAGGCAGGAGCAAAGTCCTGCTGGAAAATAAAATAATCTCCCTAAAGCTTTGCATGAAACAAAACTTCCTGTGTTGACACTGTGGACTTCAGGAAACCCAGTGGACCAACAGCAGCAGATGACGTGTACCATCACTGACTAGAATCTGGACTTCAGCAAGGTGGATTCTGTGCCTCTCCACTCCTCCAGACTCTGGAGCTGGATTTCCAAAAGACTGAAAAGAGGACAGTGGACCACTGAGGAGTGTCTTGACTTGAGGAATGGGACATTTGGAGCTCATGTCTAGAGTTAATTAGGACTTGATTCCTGCTCACGCTGCAAAAACTTTTGGCAGTGGCTTTTATCTCAAAGTACCAAAAGCACCATAACGTTCAGATTTTCTAAGATACTGAAGTTTTGTGTAATGAATCTGTAATACACGAGCTTAATTTTCTGAACCAACTTGACAAAAAAAATCAAAATATTCCACTTTTTTTTTTGAGAAGCACCTGTAAGTGGATATCAATATATGTCTACTCAGCATGGAAGGGTGCGTAAGCAACTCATGTAAACTGAATGCTTTTAGAATACGGCTTTGCCATGCCAGGAACTCAACAACAGGTCATTTCTTTGCCTTTTTGAGTCTCAACAGTCCCAGCCCAGTGAGATATTACCTTAATATATGTTAGTGATGCGTGTGAAGTTGAATCCAAGTGGAATGTTCGCCCCATCACAACTGATTGTCCATTTTAAAGACAGGTAAAGGTCGTCGTACCAGTGTGTAACATCAGAGTGTTTAAGAATCTTTCGTATGAGAGATTTTCTTCCACAGTAGTGTTTTCAAATTGTTCAAGATGAGCGAGTGCTCAATTTCCATCTGTTCCACTGAACCCTTGAGTGCGATGCAAGCGTACAGCTGCTTCTCCAGCTCCTCGCTTACGTCAGATGGTGCTCCCCTCAAAATATAGTCCTTCAGGGTGTCGCAGGCTTTAGCTAGGTTCGGCCTGGTGACCTCGGGTGTGCACCTGTGCTTGGTGAGGTCACAGCTAGTGAGGCAGTCGGTCCCGTAGAGACAGTCCTCGTCCACATCGCAGCGCTGCTGTCGGATTCTCTCCTGGAAGGTGGCTTCAGGGATGATGTAGCGGGCGTCCATCACTTTAAAGTCATGCCGGTCGTTGTAACCAAACGTAGTTGTGCTCACGTCGCACATGAGGAAACTGCCAAAAGTGCCGTGGAAGATGTCCTCCACCAGCTCTAGCAGGCCTATGGAGATCTTGGCCTTGTGAGGCCACGAGGGAGTGAACCACTGGTCCATGCTGCGGCGCAGACCGGCAGGAATCCACACCTCAATGATCCAAGGCACGCTGATCCCATACAGAGGAGAGTACGGCACCTTCTCCATCATATACAGGTCGCCACAGAAGCCAAGTAACTTGGGCGTGTGCTCCCGGTCCCGCAACACCAGCGCCAACAGGAACTCGTTGAGCTGCAGCAGAGCCCATATGGAGCGAGCCTCTGGCAGTGAGATGTGACCATCCTTATTGGCATCTGCAATGGACAATACCTGGGTTGCCAGGTCTGCGAGGTTGGCCTGGTCCCCCACTTTAGCCTGTAAAGAAAAGATTTAAAGAGACAGTTAGGTTTTTGAAGGGATTTTTAAGTCTTGCTTGAGAGAAAGATTTACTCTAATCCAGGGTATAGGACTGTGGGATGGTCTGGAAGATGATCTTTAAAATGCCAGATCTATGTATATATTTAAGAGACAGATAAAAGCTAGTTTGTTAAAGGCAAGGGCGGAGTGGATAATCGGGACAATCGGGACGAATCCCGCTGGACCGGATCATTAATGGGCCGGTCCGATGGGCGCAGTTAGTATGGGGATAATAGGACGAAAAAAAATCTCCGATCAAAACTGATGATGAACTTCTGTTAGTTCGCTGACGCTCCCACAGAGCTGCAGCAGCAAAGACAGCCCACTCCTCCCTCCCTTTTCACACAGAGCTGGAGGAGCAAAGACAGCCCGCTCCTCCCTCCCTTTTTCACACACAGAGCTGGAGGAGCAAAGACAGCCCGCTCCTCCCTCCCTTTTTCACACAGAGCTGGAGGAGCAAAGACAGCCCACTCCTCCCTCCCTTTTTCACACACAGAGCTGCAGCAGCAAAGACAGCCTGCTCCCCCTCCCTTTTTCAGACACAGAGCTGCAGCATCAAAGAGCCCGCTCCTCCCTCCCTTCCTCCTTGTGACAGAGCGGAGCGGTGTCGCGCACACAGTCAAGAGTTTATTCTTCTATTCTTGTGGGGACTTTGCATTGACTTCCATTCATTTACCGGTCATTTCTACAGCCTAACCCTGACCCACCAACAGTATTTTTCCCAACGGGGACCGGGCTTTTCCCCCATAAGGAAGAGGAGTGGGTCCTCACCACCAGGCTGTGTTTACCGGGAAAATGGTCCCCACTAGGCTGCAAAAAACACAGACACACACACACACACACACACACACACACACACAC